TAGGTGTGGGAGGTGGCATAGCTCAGCAATGGATCATCTGCCTTGCATGCAGAAAATCTCAGCTTCAATCCCCAGATAGGGCTGAGATAGAGTCCATGTTTGAAACCCCAGAGAACTCTTGCCAGTCAGTGTAGAAAGCAGAGCTAGATGGACTCTGTACAACCAAGCTTCCTGTGTTCTTTGGACTGCAGCATTAGTCAAGACAAACCCTAGTGTGGTCAATGACTGAGGACACCTGGGTGAAGTTTATTAGGTGCCCCCAGATCACTTTCTATGTCTCAGCCTCATGTTTTTGTGATTATAGAGAAGGGAGAAACTATGGGTACTATCCTGGGCTCCTTGGAGCAGAGAGTACCATCCATAGGTTGAAAATAATAAATATGCCCACTGCAAAAATAAGGCTAATGGGAAAGGCCGGGTATACTTTTACCGCCTTTCGGAGACCAGATATTACAAATTGTACATTAATGAATGCTTGGATGGAACCTTGTTGTTGGGAATCACATATTCTACCCACGTGCCAAAAAGGAGAAAGAAATCAACAATGATTAATGTTCATTCTACCAAGAGAGAGAGATAGAATGGCCAGAGCTGCAAATAAACACCTTTTTCCCTTGGTGCACTAAGCAATTTCCAATAAAATAAAAAAATAAAAAAGAAATATTAGCTCAGATATGTATGTACATACAGAGCATGTAATTGGGGTTTTGATTATACTACTCTGTTATAGCAGAAGCCTAGAGGAGAGGGGAAGGAAGGAAAGGAAGGGGGAATAGTTAATATCAGAATAAATCCACTGAGATATTGGAGGGGGCATAGCAATTAGAAGTAGCTGGGAAGGAATAGCTTTTTCCTCCTCCTGGATTGCTACAGGGCAAGGTATCGGTAATGTAGACACATCCCTTTTAGGAAACAACAGAAATCCAGCCAGTGCAGACACTGAAGATCCTGATAAAATGTGACCCAGAGAGAGGCATGTCGCTGAATCAAGCACAATGCACATACATTGCACATACATGGGTGTATTTGTGATACCCATTATTTCCCATGTGCAGTGGTCTGCATGCAAAGTCATGACTTGGCCTACATGCCACAATCTATCAGGATCTTCAGCCATTAAACCAGGCCTACTTGGCCCATGGATAATGGGGACTGGAACTTACTAAGTCAGAGTCCAGGTCTAGATACCCAATCCACATTTTCCAGCACACCTAAGTATTCCGTTGTGCTTGGATGCATAGGAAGAAAAGGCAGCCAGTGTCTGAGCTTGAGCTCCAACATGTTTTGCCCTATTAACCTGAGGAACATTTCCGAGGCATCCAAACACAAGCGAAAATGTCAATGGAATACAGCTGATGTTTTTAGCGTTACACATCAGATTCGGTGCCTGGCCACAGGAAGATGGATGCTTCACACTTCTAATTTGAGATATGCCAAATTCATGTGTGTGTGCGCTCTCTCTCTCTCTCTCTCTCTATATATATATATGCAGAACCTCCTTGGAGACACCATTTCAGAGGGAGCGGGGAGATTCACAGCCAAGTTCAAAAGTCCACGCCTGGATATATTCAAAGCCAACTTGCGAAACCCACACATACAAACACACAGCACTGGCCCTGTCATTAGACGGAGTGGGGCGGCTGCCACAGACAGCCATGACAGGGCAGCAAATTGCAATTGATTTTATTCATTATCTTTGTATTTTTACTGCCACGGAGAAGCGCTAATAGGCTTCTCTCTCTCTCTCGGGTGCCAAAATAACTTTGCCAACCTAGGATAGTATGAACTTTTACTTGCGGGGTGGGGAGTGCCATTAGCTATTCCACTTCAGACAGAAACTTGTCTTTGGGTCAGCCCCGGAGACATGCACCAGCCACCCAACGTGCTGTGGATGGTTGCACCCCTGCTCCCCCACGAATCAATCAGCATCCAATTTTTCTTTAAATAGGGACATTATGTCATAAGGCAGTCCATCGTGCGGAAGCAGTGACACAGCTGCAGCAGCAAACACTGCCTTGAGGTTTGAAGTGTCACTTCACTTCAGTATTCTAGAATCTCACATACATTGGATGTGTGTCAGGAAGGTTTCCTTCTTCCACAACATACGCACGGCACCCTACTTAACACATAATAAGGCAACTGGGACACTCTCTCCCCCCTATGATATTTGCTTGCTGTGAGCTGCTTTTTTAAAAAAATCAGCCCCATCCTTGTGCATTTCATTTTACAGGCACATGCTGAGGCCAAAGATCGTATAGGTGTGTTTTGCTCTGCATTCCACCAGAAGATATAATTTTAATTATGGCACCCTGGAGAAAGATGTCAGTGAAAGAACATCCAACAGTTTTATTATTCATGACTGAACTTGAGCAATATTTATTTATTTAGAGCATTTGTACCCCATTCTGGATTCACAGCTGTCCATGGAGGCGCCGGTCAATTCTGTGTCCAGGGCAGCTGTTTATCAGCTCCATCTGGTACTCAGGCTGAGACCCTACCTGCTCTCAGACTGTCTTGCCAGAGTGGTGCATGCTCTGGTTATCTCCCGCTTGGACTACTGCAATGCGCTCTACGTGGGGCTACCTTTGAAGGTGACCCAGAAAGAGCGTCTCCACCCCCATCGTTCTGCCTGGACACTGAGGTCCAGTGCTGAGGGCCTTCTGGTGGTTCCCTTGCTGCGAGAAGCCAAGTTACAGGGAACAAGGCAGAGGGCCTTGTTGGTAGTGGCACCCGCCCTGTGGAATGCCCTCCCACCAGATGTCAAAGAGAAAAACAACTACCAAACTTTTAGAAGACATCTGAAGGCAGCCCTGATTAGGGAAGCTTTTAATGTTTAATAGACTATTGTATTTTAATAGTCTGTTGGAAGCCTTCCAGAGTGGCTAGGGAAACCAGCCAGATGGGTGGGGTATAAATAAATTATTATTATTATTATTATTATTATTATTATTATTACCCCACTCTTCAGCACGCGCAAAAAAAAGGCTCCCAGAGCAGCTTACATGAAATCAAATCTACCCAGAGAGTCATCTCACTACAGTGGCCAGATTATTAGACTTGATCCGGAGGAGACTTGATCTCTGGGACTCTCTTCCCCCCCTCCCCCCTCTCTCTCTCTCTCACACACACACACCAGTAGCATGCTTGCTACATGCTTGTGGATTCAGACAGCTTACATATTTTTGGTACAGCTTGCAAGAAGTCTGTCCTCACAAGGCAGAAATCAGAAAGGCATACAAAGGCTCTAAGACAATGACATGTATGACTGGGTATGGCAAGAAGAATCAGACAGAGAGCTGGGTTGTAATCCCAGAATCCAGCAGCAATCCAGGTTCGGAGCCAGAGGCTGCAGCGTCCCTGGCTATGGAGCCAGTCCAGATTCATGGCTCTGAGCCTGCTCCTGGAGACTGGAGGGAGCACAGAGGCTGATAAACAGGAACCTACAGGGCAACCTCCCCTACCACCAAGGTCTGCAAGTCCAGGTCCATCACAGGCACTTTCCTCTAAGTCTGAGGAACTCAGTGCTTCCCAGGGCATCACAAGGAGCACAGCAGGAGAGAGAGGCTTTGGAACAGAGGAGGAGTGTGTGTCTTCAGGCAAGTGGGTTGGCCCTTTAAGACAGTGTAGTTCTCCACAAGTGGATGAGACCCGGCGGAGGTAGTCTGAGGGCAGAGACTTTATAGTGCTCAGTCTGCTCTCCTCCTTTGTCACCACAAGTTGTTCACTTGGAGCTATCAGTGGTCCTGCAACTTTTGACCTACCTTTCTCCATGAGAAAGGGAAGGGGCAGGAAGTGGTCTGCTGCAATGTTTTCATACAATGTGTCTCAAAAACATTTTTAAAAATGATAAAGTTGATTGAATTCCATTTTTGTGAATTCTGTTGTAATATATCTATATCTATATATCTATATATCTATATATCTATGTATCTATAGATATAGATATAGATATAGATATAGATATAGATATAGATGATATAGATATAGATATAGATATAGATATAGATATAGATATAGATATAGATATAGATATAGATATAGATATAGATATAGATGGAATTTATATCTGTACCTCCCAGGTTAATATGTGGATTGGAATGGAGCTATCCCTTGGATCTTGACATTCTTCTGCCATTGTGACACAGTTTTCTGCTAAAGGGGGGGGGTCAAGGTGTGGGATGGCTGTCTCTCAATGCAGACGTAGGTAACTGAGCCTGAGCTTCCATAGCTGCTGCCCACCATGAACCACAGTTGGCGGGACCGGCAGCAACAGCAGCAGATATGTCCTGTGCTTATGCCAATATTTTATTCTCTTGTTAATTATGCTGTTTAAACTGTGTGTTTTATATTTGACTTCCTTTAATAATGTTTTCCTTTAAAATGTTTACGTCCCCCCCCCCGTTAACTTTGCTGCATTAAATGTGCATTTTGCACTTGACTTCCTTTGTAATGTTTTATTTTGAAATGTTTTAAAATAATTTTTTAGTTTCCTATTAATTACGTTGCTTTGAAAGCATACTTTACAGATGACTTTCTTCAGTAATGTTCTAAAGTGTTGTAAACCACTTTGAGATTTTTTTCCCTTAAAAATATAAAGTGGCATAGAAATGAAATGGGGGGAAAGTGAAGCAGTTCTCCCTCTGTTAAACAGCACACCTGGACTGTCTGTCCCCCTGCACTGCTTGCTTGCTCATCAGGCTGCCTACTGCTCTGTCCTCACTCTGGAGTTGGCAGCCACACAACCTGCAGCATGACAACAGCCTTACATTTTTATGTCTATAGGAAGATAGCACTGTGCAACTTATTGCAATCTAGAATTAACTAGGGATGCTTTGTAGTTCATTTGGAAGAAGAAGAAGAAGAAGAGGAGGAGGAGGAGGAGGAGGAGGAGGAGGGGGAAGGAGTTTGGATTTGATATCCCGCTTTATCACTACCCTAAGGAATCCCAAAGCGGTTAACAATCTCTTTTCCCTTCCTCCCCAATAACAAACACTCTGTGAGGTGAATGAGGCTGAGAGACTTCAGAGAAGTGTGACTAGCCCAAGGTCAGCCATGTGGAGGAGTGGGGAATCAAACCCGGTTCACCAGATTACGAGTCCACTGCTCTTAACCACTACACCACACTGAGCAAGAGACAAACCAAAGAGGGACAAAGCAGGTAGAACCAAACTTTTTGGAAATAAATGTTTCATGATTAATAAAAAAAAATGTTTGCCTTGTAGAGGCTGTTCCCCCTCCCCTTTCCTATGCTTTCTTTTTGGGTGATTTCCAGCTGACCCTGGAGACTTTTCTTTACAAGAAAGAGGCTGTGAGGGAAGGAAGAGTGACTGAGAGGAAGCCAGTACTGTAATTGGACAAATCTATCTCTTAATGGAATAATGGCTGCCTCTGCCTCTTGGCTTGCAGTACTAAAGGTTCCTGTTAATTGGTTCTACCTCTTTCATGTCTTGTTCTTCTTCCAATGAAGTGATTGGGTAGAGACTTTGGGGGAGCTTCTGTGCCTCTTTATCAACACATCTTTGTGTTAGTAAGGCAACAGTTTTAGTGACTTTATGACAGCTGGACAAAAATTAAACATTTAGTCAGAAAAGAAATGCTTCCGCCATTATAAGCCTCAAAATTTTATCTTATAAAAAGACACCCATTGAGCTAATAACTTGAAACCCATCATATGTGAACTACCTGATGAGATCTATGAATGTGCCAAATCTCATACCTCTACAATAAAAATTGTCCCAGATAAAATAAGTTAAAAAGTCCTAGAAATTGGCACACTTACCCCTCTCCAATTTTTGAACAGAAATGTTATATATTTCTTTCCCATGTTGGCGAAAACTACTGATGTACTTTATTCAAGATGATGAAGGAAGGCAATCTTTCATTGACTTGGTGAAATTCTTAGCAGTAGTTCAAAAGTTATCGATGTTTCCCAGACCCGTTAAACTAAGGGCAGCAACTGCTGGCAAAATAAGATGGTGCATGCACAGTTAAAATCTTGAAGTGAGAATTAAACCAGTACTGCAATGTTTGCAGGGGGAGCCACCTAGTGGGTGCTATGTGCAATGCCTGTTTTCAAGGTATAGACTTCTTTGTTGCTGGAGCTCTTGCTCTGTTAGTCAACTGCGGAAAGTAGAGTGTGGTACAGTCAAATCACGGTTGTCAAACGTAATCTGTTCTGGAAGCCCGTTCGGCTTCCAAAATGTTCGACAACCAAGGTGTGGCTTCCAATTGGTTGCAGGTGGTTCCTGCACTCAAGTGGAAGCCATGTCGGACATTCAGCTTCTGAAAAACATTTGAAAACCGGAACACCTACTTTCGGGTTTTCGGCATTCGGGAGCTGAAACATTCCAAAACAGAGGCATTTGGGAGCTGAGGTTTGACTGTACAGGGATTGTACTGAGGGATCGCACACAAATAGTGAGGATTGGGCCTGTTACATCTACCTCTCTGAAGCTCAGCACTGGCACCCCACAGGGGTGCATGCTGAGTCCCTACCTGTACTTGTTGTATACATATGGCTGTATCTCATCCGATCCATCTACTGTAATTATTAAGTTTGCAGATGATACCACCATAATGGGTCTAATTACAGGTGGAGATGAATCAGCGTACAGGGAGGAGGTTCAAAAAGTCTCGACATGGTGCCTAGAGAACAACTTTCATCTAAATATCAGTAAGACAAAGGAGATGGTGTTGGGCTTTCGGAGGAAGAGAGAGGAACTAGCCCCGTTGTATATCAGGAGGGGCTGTGTGGAGAGAGTCTCTTCCTTTAAATTCCTGGGAGTCTACCTTAGTGAAAACCTCACTTGGAAAATCAATACAACCCAGGTGGTTAGGAAGGCCCAGCAGAGACTCCATTTCCTCAGGGTCTTGCAAAAGAACAATTTCAAACAAAAATTGATGATCTCCTTCTACTGGTACCCAATAGAAAGTGTCCTTTCATACTGTATTACAGTGTGGTACGCTGGTTTGACAGCCACGGACAGGAAGTCCCTACAGATATCATGGGCTGTCCTTTGAGTTCGCTAGATGACATCGCGGGAGACCGCTGCCTCAGGAGAAAAATTCTTAGGGACGACTCACACCCCGGCCAGTACCTCTTTAATCTCCTACCTTTGGGCAGGAGATACAGAAATATAGTCAGCCGCACCAACAGGTTAAAGAACAGTTTTTATCTGTGGGCTGTTGGGCTGCTGAATGGAAAAAAAATTAGTGGTGTAATTGACTTTCGACAAGCACACAGAGTGCGAACAAGACTGAGTGTATGGGGGGGGCTCATTTAATTTCACTGCACACAGGTGGTGTAGTGACAATAAAGGTTTTTTGTTGTTGTTGTTGTTGTTGTTGTTGTTGTTATCTGCCTGCCCTGGAACTCTTGGCTGTGTTCATGACTGTCTTCCATGTATTCCTATGAGGTGTGGCATGTGTTTAACTGGCATCTTCCTGTGAGCTGACCATGCCTTGTTTGCTGCTTACTGTCAAGCTTTGTCCAGTCTGGTGGAGCATTTCACAGAGGCAAAGCTGGGTTGGACACAGGGCTAGGTTGAGCTAGGCTGGAGGCAGTGCAGGGCAGCTGTTGGAGGACCACAAATAGCTCTGAGAAGCAACTTGCTCTAACAAAGGTTGTCAGCAGACGGTACCTTTTTCAGCTCCTACTCTCAGACTACCTCAATCTCCCCCTCATTGTGACTCATAGTTTGGTTCTTAAATTAAGCCAGTATACACTTTGCTGGCTTCCCATACATATAGGATTCCACAATTATTCTGATGTGGACTTGCAACATGACAGATAAGGGAAATGTTGGTATTTTTACCACCAGGCATTGGTGGTAAAGGTATCTGAGGTATCTTAGGACCCTGAGGTGGAGATACAGCAGGTTGGTGCTAGAAAAAAAGTGGAAGGGTTTCAGCACACAATATATTTGCTTCACATTGCACCCTCCCAAGACCACATCAGAACAGAAAAGATACATGGGCTAAGGTTTGTGAGCTCAGTTGTCTAACTTGATATTCTGTGTAAGCCCTTGTAAACACCTTTAGCGGGGAAGAGGGTACTGAAATATTAATATTTAAGGAACCGATACCTGCTCAAAATCAGCATCTTCCCCACCTCTGCCTTTCCTTGCTGCCTCCGAAAATTCTATGAAGCAGGTGGATTTTTTTCAAGCTTGCTTTGACATTTTTCATTAATAGCACATCATCAGTCACAACAGTGCTAGGAAACACGGCTATACGTGCCACACCCCAAAGTCGTTAACAGCAGTACCATTCTTTCTCTTAGTGCATCTGAAGAGATTCCCACTTCCCACTTCCCATTCTGTCAGCTACTGATGGAAGCAACAAGCAGGAATAGGTCAACTTGCAGCAGGATTGCTCCAGCAATGCCGCAAGGCCCAGATGCTTCAAAATAGAATACAGAACCAGGACAGCATGGGACATCTCTGCTGATCCCACGTTCTCCACCCACTCCATCTGGATTGGGGCCTGAAAGACCAAGGAAAAGTGTTAGTGCGTGGAGGGTAAGTTATAAGCAAGCACAATTTATGGCACAACACAACATCATTGCTGATCATGGGGCACATAAACTTCCAATTTTCCAGCTTAATGGAATTTGAGACAAACCTTAATACTGATTATCAATGAGCAGGGTTTTTTAGTTTTGATAATTGAATAGTATTAACAAATAGCTTCAAATGCTTATTTTTAGTGTATATTGGATAACTTCTGAACCCCAACACATATCCATGAAAAAAAATTGCAGGGAATCTTACCAATGGGCATGTATACGTTCTTTGTGAGTTTCATGCAAATATGTGGTACAAAAAAACCCAAATGACATGTCTTTTTTAAAAAACAAAAACAAAACAGCAACACTCCAACTTTAAAGACATCCAACACAAAGACTCCTGAACCCATTTGTCTTATATTTGGCAAGCCTCAACCCCTCAAAGGGGACAACCATCCTTAGAAACGTCAATCAATTCTGCTAACAATAAAAAAGCCATATCTCATTTTCTCTTGTAATTACTCGAAAATATGAACAAAATAATCCTACAGATCAAGAATAAAATGAAGCAACAAAATGAAGCTGTGGAAAGAGAGAGAGGTTCTTTTTGTACAGTAGTAGCATTTAAATACATCTATAAATGCATAAATGTGCTGATTGTTTAAAATTGCAGATAAATCCAGAAATACGATGGGATAGAATTATGAGGGAACACATGCCAAAGTAACATGCACCAGAAATAGACAGATTTATCCAATGTATAAAAAAATGAGGATAGGATAAGTGACATAAGGATTGCATAATATTTCATAAGGAACAGGCGGTAGACTATCAGTATTATAGCACTAGGCAATTAACAATAAATCAAGTAAAAATTCAGTTTAGACTACCAAGTTATTCTGGAATGACAAGCTAAGGAATGGCATGTAAGAAAACTTCCTGGAATCTGTGGCTACAGATACTATCTAAATACTTAATGTCTTTTTCCTGTAAGCCAATCGCATCTGCCAACTAATTGTTTTCTGCTGCAAGAAAAATAATCCATCAGCAGAGCCCAACAATATGGGAGCTCATTTAGACTTGCCAGCCAAGCAGCCTCACTGCCACTGTTGAAGTAGTTTTAAAATGTGACAATAGTGACAATGACTTCTTTGCCAACTTCAACACTTTAAAGTCTCATTTATCATTTCTAACTAGTATTCTAACAGCCAAATGCTTTGGGCATGTTCATTTGCTTACAGCATTTGTGCCAGATTTGGGGTGATCTTAATTTAAACATCACAATCGCTGAGTAACAAAACACTGAAGTCCTTCTGTACAACCGCACAAATTTAGAAAATGCCAAATGTGCTCAGGGAAAGGAAAATATATCTTTTGATTGGGGGGGAAAGTCAGCATTCCACAGTTGTTCGTAGCAAAACTGCAATTGACAATGTGTTCTTTCTGTGTCAGGGAATTTACCATGAGGCTAAGCATGCAAATGACTTTTGGAAGCGGGGAATGACAGGAATTGATTAATACCAGTTGACAGCCAGTTCTAGGCAGGAAGGTAGTGGAATGATTGATTTACCCAAATGTACACAGGGTCGATTATATGACCTCAATCCAATTTCATAAAGTGTAACTAGAAGACCAAATGGTGAGCCCACTGAATGGAAGATTTGAGGTTGGGCAGCTTATACGTATATAGAACACAACAATACCTTTTAAAAGGCTAGCTAAATTGTGCTGACAATTCACAAAGCAATTGCTATAATGCAAGCACTAACTCGCAGCAGCAAATGTGTGAGTTTTGGTCCACACAGCAGAGAACAGCACCCTCCCTGTCAATAAATTCTTGCACATCTGCAATGGAAGGATTTTTTTTCAGATTTCAGAGGATTCTGGGAAATGTTTCAGGGTGTACACTTAGTTCACAAAAGGTGAACCCTAGGTTCACCTAATGGACCTCACCACTCTTCCACACAAGTTAAGTGCACATTCTAGCACACATCCAACTCTCCCTTGCAATTGGACATTTTTCAAGATGATCAGCAGTGTTGTATTTCAGGGAACCTTTCTGCTTTACATTTCTGGTTGCTTTATTTATGTTATTACCTTTCCGCAGCTGTTTGTATGACTAATGTATACAGTTAGCCACTGAGTATATTTTTATTTTTTAAAGAATGGTGGCATAGAAATACTTTTTAAAAAACAAGGTGTTGCATGCAATGCTGATTGTTCACTTGCAGAACAGTCTTCAGCTCACGCAACAGGATTTCACCTTCCTCTCTTCCCCTCTGCTGCCCTCCGCACGCCCGCACATTTGTCTGATTTTAAAGGAGGCCACCTGTAGATAAAAGCAAGAGTGGGAAAGGGCCAAGAGAGAGAAATTAAGAGTGGGTACAACTGTGGCTGACTGTAGCCGTGTTCAGATACATTTACTTCATCACACAATGTTTAAGAAAGTGACAATAAGGTTCTGCATGCAAGCCTCACCATCCCTATGTGTGTTGAGCAGGAGAGGTCTGCATGGGGGCTTGAACATGAGCAGAACCTCTCCACATTCTAAATACTCCTTCCTGCATTATATTGTTGTACAAATTATCAGGTGCTGGTGACATTGCAGTCTTTTGCTGGCTGCCCATGTCCTGGTCATCTTCTAGGACAGCCCTAAATAATAAAAATAATACTCTGGGCCACTCTGGGCAGCTTCCAACAAAATATTAAAATACAGTAATGCATCAAACATTAAAAGCTTCCCTAAACAGGGCTGCCTTCAGATGTCTTCTAAAAGTCTAGTAGTTGTTGTTCTCTTTGACATCTGGTGGGAGGGCGTTCCATATATACAGTGCATTACAGTAATCCAGTCAGGAGATTACCAGAGCATGACTTGCTGTGGGCCAGACTATCCCCGTCTAGGAATAGCCATCACTGGCAAAACAGCTAAAGCTGCAAAATAGGCAAGCTTTAGAATAAGAGATCATAGCTGCCAGTGCCCAATCCACTGTAGAGGCTATCACTATTACATATCTGAAGATAAAAACGTGAGTTTGGGATCCTGTATTGACATGACAGCCTTTCCTCTGCCATCATTTTGGCCCTGCATCTGCTGGGGTGCTGTTGCCTTGTCACCCAACGAAATCCATCTCACCAAACT